CCCTCTCCCCCCTTGGCAGGAAAATTTAAAAATTTTGCCCCCACCTTTTTTTTAACCCAAAAGAGGGCTCGAACCTTTTCCCGGGAAAGGATGGGAGAAAATTTTTTCCCTTTGCCTTTCTTTTTCCCCCCGCCTTGGGGCTGGGCTTTGGGTTTCCCCCCCTTTTTAAAGGGGGATCCCCCTTGGCCTTTGGGTGGTTTTTTTTGGATGGCCCCCCCCCCGGCGGCGGCGGCCGCCCCCCCCCGCGCTCCCTCGTCTTCGCTGCTCCCTTCTTCCCCACTCCCGCTGTCGTCATCGTCCCTCTTCTTGGTTTCGTCGCCGGAGGATTCTCCGCTGTCCTCTCTCTCCGCCTTTCGGCGTGCCGCCCAGGCCTCGTCTCTGTCGTTGCGGGATTCGAGCTCCTCCAGGGAGGACACGAAGTGCTGGCGCCCGCCCCCGCCACGCCCGCCGCGTTTTCCCTTTCCTCTCCCACGACCCATGGTTGGTTTTTTCAAGCGCTTGGATTTGCCTCTGGGTCGCTTCTCCCTCTCTTCCCTGTGGTGCTGGTGTTGCTGCTGTGAATGCCCACAACCAAAAACATCACGATGAACCGGGGGGGGGGCACGCGATCCGGACACGACGGGTACCTACTTGAGTGCGAGCTTGCGAGCGTGCCGCTTGGATGGGAAACATCGTGGAAACACAACACACCTACATACGAATACGCACACTACGCAGCAACAGCGGCGTGCGCAGGAGTGAAATTGCTCAAGATCATCCTCCCCTTTCAACCCGCTGATGCTTCACGTCCAAGGGACAGCGGGCATGGCGCGAGAGACGTTCGGGCCCGAGCCCTCCCCGTCGCACTGGAAGCCAGACGACCTTGGGGCAGCACCAGCAGCAGGAGGAGCAGACCTGCACACGACGACGACCGCCGAAGGACGCTTGTCTGGAGAGCCAGGGTACGGATGGGGGGTAGAGACTGCTACCAAGCCTTCGGCACCGGCATCGACAGCACCTGACGCCAACGAGCAGCGGCGGCAACAGCGGCAGCAGCAGCAGCAAAGGCCTGCTGGTACTGCTGGTTCGGGCTTCGGAGGGAGACCGAAAAACGTGGTTCCACCACCTTCAATGGTGACGGGAGCGGCGATACCTGCAGACGACCCGGTGGTCGTTAAGAGCTTGACGTCACAGGTGCGCGCTGATGCTGTGTGCGCGCCGTTGCTGTGAGCGTGTGGTTCGCACAATACCACTCTTTGGTGTGCAGCAGCATGCTTTAATTTGTGAGATTTCCCGAAAAAAAATGGGTAGTACGTGCCCGTCCGTCCGTGTCGTATGCGTATGTATGTACGCGAAAATGCAGTTGTATTGTACTGCTGTAGTCTACCAGTGTGATGCGGTGCGAACATAAACGCCCCGGGTTTAGTCGCGGGAAATGAAGAAATGCCGCTCGTGAAACAACGTACAAATAGAGCGCGAAATCCGAGGATATTGTGGAATTCTGGGGACACCTTCACTTCGGCTGGCTCTACTGTTCAGGTTGTCATGCGGGGGTGGCCTCCCGTTGGTCTGGCACTGCTGGGTGTAATGATGATCCGGCTTCCATGTCTCAGTTTTCTCTTTTGCTCGATCATAATCTGGAGACACGTATGCGTACGTCTAGAAGGCGCGACAAACCATTTACCAGTAGACTATAATAGTCTCAGCGCGTAGTTTGATTTTCGGCTTCCATAAAAAAATGGGGGGACTGTCGCCATAAAAAAAAAAAAAAGAGGACGAAGGTACACGCCAGCTACATTAGGAACTGTTGTAACAAACCATCATGAATCATGGGGTTCAGTCAGTTGGCAACCTTGCATCCTTAAATGCTTGTGAAGGACGTCGTTCGACTCATTCGCACGTTTGGGTTCATTTTTTCCGACAATATCCATGTCTGCACGTGTCCATACATGCACTTCCTGCCCGATTGACTTCAGGGCTTGACTGATGAATTCTCACGTGCTGTCCATGTTCGCCGCAAGAAGAGGTAGCCGGTGGGAGATGCAAGGGGGCAAACGCTGTTCAGATTTTTGTTTTCTACAAGCCGGGGACCAATGCTTGCGGTTGTTTGGCAACGTGGTGCTCTACAAGCAGGTGGAATCGTCGTCCATTACAACCCGTAACGGGGCTATCCAGCGTGAGATGCAGGACGCCTACCGGAAGCTCATCTGCGCCAACGTCGAGCGTAAGGTGCGTGTGTGTCTCTTGAATGGTTGTAGCATCGACCGCACTACCCGGCTGTCCAATGAAGTGGCATCAGTCTCACAGCGGGGCGAAGAAAAGTGGGAGTGTGCTGGACATGTTGGTGTGGTGCTTTTCTTTTCGGTGGTATCGACCGAGGTGTCTCTGGACAAGGAAACGGACAACGGCTCAAGCAATCAGCAAGGGACTGAGGACCCCCCCCCCCCCCCTATCTCTCACCGCACACGCCGTAACAGCTGACACTTCAAGATGTGGCTTCTTTCTCGACCTTCCTGGTCGGGGTACGAGTGAGGCTACACGAGAAGGGCTCTAACCTCCGGAGGCGCCACAGCGTCCTGTCCTCCTTGCTAAAGCACGCACCTCGCGCACGCGTGCAGCGGTAAGCCTGAATTTTTGTTGCTGTCGTGGTTGCTGCTGCTGCTGCTGCTGCTGTTGTTGTTTTTGACGGTGGTGGTGAGTGGGCCTCGGGATTCTCCGTTGTTGCTACTCTTGTTGGTGTATAGTTGTTGTTGGTGGTGGCTGCGTGCTGCGGTGGTGTTGCCCGACCTCACGGAGGACCGTTGTTGCTACTATTGTTGGTGTTGAAGTAGGGTAGTTGTTTTGTTGTTGGTTGCTTGCTGCGGTACCATTGGCCGACCTTCGGAGGACCGTTGTTGTTATTCTTGTTGGTGTTGTCGTTAGTGGTGGCTGTGCTGGTACCGATCACAGTAGTTGTTTTTCTCCATGTGCCTGACATTGAAGAAAAGTCTTCCCTCGCTTCGGTCTTCCTGCTACGGTAGTATACTGTTTTGTGGTCGGACAGCCGTCTTCGCCGTAACCTGTTTGTGTGCTACAGTGCGGTCCCGCAGCTGAGAAATACTTTTGTCAAGAAACCCAGGCTCAAATTTTCATCAAGAGAAAAAACGGTTATGAAACACAGCTCAGCGGCGAATCCTAACGAAATTCAATATTACCTCATGCGCTTGACAGCAGTGGCGATGAAAACAGAATGTGGGGCTTAACCCGATATTGACGTTTGTTATCTCCGGGCCCGAACTGTAGTGGTCTCTTGCTGTTGTTGACCCTCTGTTTTGGATGTTCTACAGAATCTACTCGGACCTCGCTGCTGTGGAGGAGCAGGAATCCGCCCTTACCAAGGACGTCGACCTCTTTAACAAGCTGCAACAAGATTTGAAGGAATCGCCGGCCTACAAGTGAGAGATGAAGAAAAGAAAATAATACTTTGAGCAGTTGGCAAATGCATCCGTCAGTATGAGCAATGTCTTGAAACATCAGGGGAGCTCGATGGGAGCAAGCATGCGGATCGTTAGTTTTGCTTCTACGAGATTTTTCAGATTTTTTTAGCTTTCAAGTTCCACCAGTGTCGGTTCGATGAAATTGTCGCGAGCCGGGAATCTCGGTCTGTTGGAACGAGTTGACGCAGTCATGGTTCAAGAGGAGCATTATTAGCATCTTTGCCTCGCTGTGGGCGCAAGCTCTCTTCGCGTTACGTGGCACATGTTACGGTAGGTTGACAAGTAACGGTAGGTGGTAAATCCTGCCATATCGTACTTCGTTGGCGGGGTTGGACCGTTGGCCGTCGAAGGGTGGTTGGCGTACGTGAGGTAAGCACATGCCACGGGTTGCGCACGCCTATTTTTCGAGCAATCAAGCAGGCGTACAGACGATGCCGTGCACGCGAAGCAGCATTTAAGACCTATTCACGAGCCCAACTGTTGTTGCCTCTTGGTTTCAATCGGCGTTGCCTTGGTTCTTCTGGCATCATCCCGTTGCTGATTACTTTAACAAATCGTCGTTACTTTGGCGAAATATGTGCATCCGAACAGGGCGATGATGGAGTACGGCCAGTCGAGCGGTATGGTAAACGTGGACGGGACTATGATGCCGGATCCCACCAAACACCCGGAGCTGGAAGCCATGGTGAGAGCTGGGACAAGCCGGAAAGATGCGGGGGCCGCACGCATGGGCTCGTTCGATTGAGGGGCGTCCAGAGCTTTGCGGGATTGTAGGCACTTCGTCCGGTGTGAGACACCGGTTTTGAGTACCCTGCACGTCTCGTGGCGCGTTTTCAACGCCTCTTTGATAAAACAAGTCCGGCGGGAAGCTACGGCGGTTACGCCATGAGTCGGGCGAGAGCAGACACAGCCCACTTGCGCAACCGTAAGAGATATATAATATATATATGTAGACGCTTGAAGTATTTGTGAGATGGCTATTGCTGTAAAGCAAGATGGTTTGTTGGTTTGGACAACAGATTTCGCGAGGTGAACGGTGGAGCGCGGGCAACAGGGTACAATCGTCACAGGGGGGGTGGAGAGGGAAGAAGATGGGTGTCTTATGGGGGTGAATTAAGGCGCCGGGAGCAGCTCCGCCCCCTTCCGTCTGCTCCGTCCGCATGAATTGTTTTTCCACCGTCATCGTGTTTTCCTTTGTGCTGTTTTTGCATGCCTGTCAACGCCAACGATCAGCAGAATGAGGGCAACGCCAACCAACATGCCCCTCCGTCCTTCCCTCCGTTCTAACTGCTCCCTTGACAAACCCCCCTGCCAACCCACGATAAGGCGTCCATGTCGGTGAAGGACATGCTGGCGGAGTTCAAGATGGAGGACAAGCGTAACGAGGAGCAAGGCGGCGGTGGCCGCGGCGCTGGCTCCGTCGGGGGTGACAACGGTCTCAGCCCCGTGTTTTCGGCGGCAGCGGGGACTGGGGGACGGTTAAGGGGCGGGGCCGGCGCTGGGGGGGTGGGGAAGGCGGGGGATGCGGCGGCCCCGCAAAAAAACAAGAAGGGGAAGAAGGGAAAGAAAGATAGAAGACGGTAGTATAGCCGGTGGGTGGGTGACGCCCATGGTCGTGGCGATGCCCATTGTGTGTGCGTTTTGGTACCGGTGCGTTTATTCCGATAAGGGGGGCATCATGAGCTCTTAGGTTTGTGTCCGGCTTTTTCATGTGTGGGGGCGCCGTAAACTGTAGGGGTTGTGTCAAGCTTTTTTATATTTGTGTGGTGTGTGGCGGTAGTCTGCGCTCTCGCGGACGGGGGGTGCCGCCGATGGGAAGAGGTTCGTTCTTGGGTGCATGTTGTTCATTTCGTGGGTGGTGTGCTGCGTTTCTACGCGTGACTACTCGGCCTTTCCCCGCACGCTATGTGATGTTTTTTTTCCGCGAGTTAACATGTGTAGTAGCTGTGCACTGCTGTGGATGGCGGGAGGGAGAGCGGTACCTTGGCCATCACGACTCATGACGCTCGGGTTAGAGGCTGTCGGCTCTTGTATCCGTACAAAGGCGTCGCGGAAGTCGTTTGTTGATTATTTGTGCTCGGCGACGTAGCCGCTACAGGATTGGAGTTCGCCCGCTCCGGGGCGGATCTCGGCACCGGGCCGCCACATCACCCATTGTATGGACGACATGCTTCGAGCTTCGAAGCTGAGTGGGCTCTTTTCGCGCGTGGGTTCGTGTAAGTCTTGTCGCTCGTGCCCGTTTTGCGGTTCTATCAAGTGTTGGGGGGGAATCTGTCGCGGGGTGGGCAGTCAGCGGGTTGATTTGGGGGGAGTCTGTCGCGGGGTGGGCAGTCAGCCGGTTGAATTTCGCGACATACTGTTGTCAGCCACGAAGCAATGTTAATACTCAAGGTAGCTCTTTTAGGTGACTAGCAAGGAGAACCTGGGATGGGTGTGTTCATTTTTGCCTGTAGGGGCGCTGCAGGTATGGGGCCGTGTGTGTACGCGGGGAGGGTGAGGTAAAGCGGACAGTTCCCGGCGGTGCGTATTATCACAAGAAGCACGTCGATTTCGTAGAAACAGCAATTGCACGGTTAAGCCGCGCCTGTTGCCGGTGTGACTATGGAATCTACGCATTTCCATTTGATGTCACATGTATAGTTGTTGACCTTTGGTAGAGGGCACTACTACAGTAGGTGCATTCTCCCTGCGTTCGCTGTGTCATTTTTGGGAGGTGACGGCTTCCTATCACCTACAGCGAGCAGCAGATTTGCCCTGGGTGGGATTTGCTGCGCTGCTCGATAACGTCATGTGGGCTCAGCTAATTACGAACCGGAACCTTGTGATGGCTTCCTATCACCCCTACAGCGAGCAGCAGATTTGCGCTGGGTGGGAATCGCCGCGCTGCTGTCGAAAACGTCATGTGGGTCTAGCTAACTACGAACCGGAACTCGTGATGATCTTCGTTGCCCCCGCCTGCCCTGATGCCGGGTACACGGGACGAGAGCGGTAATCTCTCTTCAACAGGTAATCGTTTCTCTGATGATTCGGCACAATCTACGGCATTCTAAAAGCTCTTGCTTTCTACGGTATCGTCCCGCTCTTCCCCCCTCTCCCATTTCCCACCTACCCCGTTCTAGCATATATCATAGCACACACACAAGACGATACTGCATCGCTTCACGCCTTCCCCAACATCTCCCTTGTGGAGGAGTCCAAAGATGGACATAGCCATGCCATTCTTCGGGTGCATTAACAGGCAGGTGAAGAGGGAATGGGGAGAAATGACATGAAACTGCGGTAATCGCCTCATTGATGCCCAAGGAAATTTCTTGGGTTCGACAGGAGCAGTCTCAGGAATGGGCTTGGAAAATTATCCCGACACGCACGCGCTACCGAGTAATGAAGTAGAACATATCGGAACAATAAATAGTTTGCCGTCGATCTCCAACTGTTTAACACTGCGTGGAACCCACACAGCCGGCCATCATACTCGCGAGTGAGTGTCTTGGTGCTCCAATGGACTCCCCACGCACCCAATCCCACATCTCCCAGGTGCGGGCTGGCGGTTGTTCTTGGTACCCAACTACAGTATACCCACAGCAAGTATGCTTGAAGCACGCGCCGCTCGACACATGGAATCCCCAAGTCAAGGGGATGAGCTGCGGGGTGTCTATTTTGTACTGCTGCTGTACAGTAAGTTTGGGTATGTATATGTTTTTTGTTTTTTTTTGTATGTATTGCTGTAGCACACATGTGTCGTGGGTCGTACCACCTCTTGCTTGTTGCTCGTGGAGAGGGAATGGGAACGCCAAGAAACGGCCATACTTCGCGGCCCGATGAGATGGTCGTGGCGCCACCGAACGTGCAGACGGGAGGTGGCGGCGCATCTGCCAAACAAACGTGTGTGTATAGGGCAAGGAAGCCATTTTTTCGACTGCCGGACAGCCTGACAGCTGCATATGTATCTCCAACTTTGACGAGATCCGCTAGACTATCTGTATGCATGCGAGTCAGCGGAATATCATTCACGTATGGTTGTTCAGGCTTGGTTGTCACGGCACGGGCCGCCGGCAGATCGACACACAGCAGTGCTGCACGGCTGAAAAAAAAAAAATGGCGGCGGAACAAAAAATATCGGTTTACACAGAAGACAGAAGAGCAGCGCGACCGGCGAACACCCACCCAAGGCTAAAGGTTTACAGCAGTAGACTCTTCCAATAGCTATCTAGGGAACCAAGGTTTGCCGAATTCTGTCCACTGCAGGCTTCAAACTTGTCGGCGCAACCCGCAGCCCCTCCGCCAAAAAAATGTGAGACTCGTATCTACGCGGCGCAACCACGCTGCTGTGCAACTGCCTAAAAGAGACCAAGCACGAGAACGCGCCCACCACAGCATCAATCGCCACTAAAGTTTGAGGGAAGGTGGACTGAGTGCCAGGGAGTATATTGCACAAGAGTTGAACTTGATTAGTGCCGAGGATCGAGAGGTAGACACGGATGAAATTCAAAACTTGGGTTCGCATACAGGCACCATGTGTATCTCCTGCCACGCTGCCAGCAACACCGAGCATTTGTAATGTTAGCTAAAAAAAAAAAAAATGTTAGCTGCTGATCTTGTGATTGTACAGCACTTGGAATTGTGCTGCAAAATGAACTACAGATGGAGTACTCTTGAATGGTGTCAGCTAGATTTGAACTGAAATTGCAGTTGGGGTGCCCCTTCTCCTGCTGCTGCTGTGTTGCACCGCACACACTTGTGCCTGTTGACTCGGGACCCTCACCCAGCGGCACAACTCTCCTGAATCCCGAAGAAAAAAGACTATTTTGTATGATGGAGATGGATTCGTTGTGTCATATTAAGAAAAATAAAAAATATATATATGAGAAGGATGGAGTAGCGACAGTGACACGGCAGCTACACTAACAGTGAGTGAGTATGGTCAATCATTACGTTGTGCTATCTGATGTCGCACGCAGGAAACGGGCCGCCCACCTACACAGTACTTTTAATTATGTACTCGCACTCAGCTACGCACTTAGCATTGGGTGTGTCGAAAACGCGAGGAAAAACTTATTGGAAATCTCCAACCACGTTCCGGTTCGCTCGACGCCAAGACGTTGGGGAGGAAGGAGAACCCGGGGATGGTATCACCGCTACCCACGCTCAGCACCCGCAATCTCGACAAAACAATTCAAGATACCATCCAGACCAGTAGCAGAAACCCCACCCCAGATCAATAAGCGTCATGTACGGCTGCACACCTCGTCATGCCGCCCCCGCGGCGGCAAACACTCGGGTTATTGGTTTGCGAAGGCCGAAGGCCGATGTTTCAATTTACGCGTGTTGCTGGTCGGTTGTGCTGCAGCGTGGAGCCGTAGTAGCTGAAGTGACATGCGGCCAGTGTGCATTCATCCTTAGTCGGAGTCCAGCAAAGGGCGCGAGAGGATCGTACGTACATTAGCCTATTCTTCGTTTTTCGTACCTACCTGCAGACACGCCGCCCTCCTTTGCTGCTAGCCCCGCCTGTGCTAAAAGCGCCTTTGCAATGTCTCCCCTTGTTGTCTTTTCCGTGCGCCCCAATCTGGCCGTCGATATTCGCTAGGCCCGGGCGTCCAAAGCATTCCCTTGGTTCTCTTCGTTGCCAGCTTCGTCATTTTCGTCTGGTCCGCTCACAAGAAGCAAGTGGGCAGGGGAGAGTGCTCCAGCCTCGTCCAGGGAGGAAACGTCGCCTCATTTCTATACTTTTATGTTCGCGTGGCTACGGGCATGATCACAATGCTGACAGGTGGGTTTTGCTATGATGGCCAAGAACAAGGTGCATCGAGAAGTCTCGGAATGGGCGGGGGGGTTGGTGTGCACGCACAACCAGGATAAGCAGGCTTCACTTTGCTCTGGTTGCCAACTTTTTCGGAGTTTCATTCTCCCGCACACCCCGCAAACGTCCGGTATGAATAGCACCCGAATCCGGTGTAGTCCCAAGCGCCAATAGTCCGTGGTCCCCTCACGGCACGCGTGTGACATGTAGTGTTCCGCTCACGACGAAAACCTTGGTCATCTCACTCTCCTTTTCTGCGCAGTTCAGAATCGCATGCTGGATATGTGGCTGTGGCCGATGGCGCTGGACGTCCTCTACTGGGTCAGTCTCGTCTGCATTGACGGCCAGAACGGTGCCTGCTACCGTCATGGCGAACAAGATCTTCCCCAGTACCACGAACGATCCCTACGACAACGCGAAGGGCAGGATCGTGTCCGTCATGGGGGTGGCACAGCTCCGCCTGTGGCAGAAACTGAGAGTCCACCAGGAACGGGGGTGCTTACGGCTGCTGCTATTTCTGGAACCACCTCAGGACTAACGGCGAGTAGACTTGGCGATTTAGGAAGCGACCAACACGGAGGCAATTTGGCTTCTCTTCACGCCACGGCGGCTGCGTTGGGTGATCGTGAGGAATTTCATGGATCTTCCACAGTTTCGTCGGTGGCAAGGTCTGGGCAAGAAGTTGAGGTCGCTCCCGCTCCATCAGTGTCCGTTGCGAGGGTTGCGATCTCGTCGCTACTGCCAGCACAGTGACCCACACGAGTGTATGCCTGTGTATCTTAAGGACATCGAAAGGCGACGCGTTTTTTTTCCGCCATCGAAGTGAGACGATGTTCTTCTTGTCCAATACACCGTGGCGGAAAGTAGTGTATTTTTCGTTCAGCTGGCCTGGCGGAGATAGTTCGTCAGTTGTTGCTGCGTGTACGTTTCCTCGCGTCGGGATATCTGACTCAAAGAAGCCCGATTGAAACACATGGAGTAGAAGCAAACGGCGTACAGACGGATATTTGGCCGGCACCACTCAACGTCTGGTGTGTGTGACCTCAGGCACCCAATCGCCGAGACTCTCAAGTTTGAGCGGGCTGGCGTTGTTGCTCAATATTTTCCCACCTTCACGAGCAAGCCGTGTGGATGAAAACAGGAACTCTCGCATATATTTAGGCTACACTGAAACAGAGATATCCGCCCGTTCGAAAGAATCCTTAGTAAAGACAGACCCCGCCCGATTCTCTTGCGTCGGACGGAAGGTCTACAGTAGGAGAGCATTGTACCTTCCCGCTTGAATCTTATGGAGCGTTGGCCCCTGACGATCGACCCTCTTTAATATCTTGGATTCTCGCAGGCGGTACTCTTGTCGATCGCAATCGTCCGGCTTGTGGGAGGCCGATGCTCTAGACTATGTAGACAATGTTAGGGTGATCCGAACTGGGGGTAGCTTGTCGCAAGACGTGTTGAATAGGGTGTCGGCAACTCGGCGAACTCGCGCCAAGGAGGAAAGATGTGCTGAGTTTGTTGTATAGACTTCTTCTTCACATGAAAAACATGGACTCACATGAACACATGAACACATGAACTGCACGCACGCGTGCACGCACCACCACCATGAGGGGGCGACGCAGTATACAACAGGGGTACCTTGCATACCCTGGAAATACATTCCACGTACCACACAATCCTACAACCACTTGGCATTGCTACAAGTATATCTATCAGACAACACTAACTTATACCGCGTACCTGGCCATGACGTTGAACGGAAGGGACGTGAAATTAATAAAGGGGGTTTTCAAGGTGTCCCTCTAGAGACAAAGCGAGACCGTGGTGTCCAAGCTCTAGGTTGCCGGTTGCCTCGCGTCATCGGTGGGTGAGTTGCGTCTTCCGCGCTTGCCCTGGTAACGTAACCGTTCCACACAAGCACAGATCCGACGCGGCGCAACTTCGCCGTTGCACCTGTGGTGTACCGCCATTACCCCGCTAGACTACCCCCCCCGTCTACCACGCGCCCACACTACAGATTATAGCGCTCAGGCTATGAAGAGAGAAGACGCCACAACGCAGACAGCTAACCCTAACATGCTGGATCCAAGTAGTTCACAACACGTCACAATTTGACATAAGACGATGATATGATCGTGAACGCCCAAGGAAATTTCCAAAACGTTTGGAAATTTCTGGGGTTCGTCCCGTAGCATTGAGGGTGCACGTAGCATTGAGGGTGCACAATATGATCCCGTAGCCGTAGCATTGAGGGTGCACGCGTCAGGCACGCGTGCTTCGCTGGTATCGTATTGCATACCCTCTGGTGCATACCCCCCCACACAGAGAGCCAACTACTCTGGAGCCCACCCAGCCCGCGCCTCGTCTGGCGAGTGTCTTCGATGAACTCGCGGAGCACTCAATCCCGTAATTCCGAGGTAAGGGGTGCAATGGCGTAGACTACAGTAGACTTATTGTACCAGGAGTACTAACGTCGGAGATACAGTCTAATACATAATATGCCGTGGTCGTACCTCTTGTGGTTCTTGCTTGCGGAGGGAGAAGAAGGCCAAGAAACCCCACGCCTCACGCCCCACAGAGACCAGCAGAGACGGTCGTTACGAGGTTGTAACTGCCAGCCCCTATTTTCTCGTACAGCATGTAGGCTGCGCAGAGCATTTCGTATTCCGAGGTCGCGGCGCAGCCGCGTGCTCGCCCAGTTCGCGGCCGCTCGGCCGTGCGTTGGCCGTGGGTGACGGTTAGGGTTGGGTTGGAGTGAGGACCCTAGCCTTGCTCGCGTGAGGAACCTAGCCTTGCTAGGTTCAACATCGGTTAGACCTTAAGAGCCACTATCAAGGTGTATTCTCGCGCAGAGTACTTGCGGAGTCTCACTTGAACTTTCTTGCGTACCGTACGAGGCGTATAGATGTAGCCGTCGGGGAGATGGCACCGGGGTGCGCGAAAACAAGGAAATATATACTTCTAGCGCCTGTCACCCACAGGGGAGCATCCCTTTATGCTGCTCGGGGATTCGTCCAACACAGGTACCCGTGGTTGCCTCCTGGGCAGACATGTGTAGCGCTCCGCCGCGAATCAAACAGAAGACCCTGCATCTGTGCATAGAGCTGGAGTTGCTGTGTTACTCTCTGTTGATCGGTCCCAAGCCTACAGCAGTGCTGCTGGACGAGCACGACTGACCCGGTTGATAGGCGTGATGGTTAAGTCGTTTATTAGGCAGTGCCTTGTGGGAAAGCAACAGGAGAGAGTGCATCACAAACACCAAAGCACTGCAGCAAACATCGCAAGTATTTTCACCGTCGGAAGACGCATCTGCAATAGAAAATATTCGTCGGGGGATACCCCGAAAGTCTACGTCCGTGGAACGGCCACTCGTTGCGTTGCTTCCATCACTTCTCAAACCAAACATGAGTGCTACCGCCGCAGCAACCTTCGTTAGGATGACATACATACAGTCCACCTCACGACCATACTCAACATGCGTTACGGTCAAAACAAAATCCCGGCTTGATTGAGTTCGATTTCCGCTCCAGTAACGGGTGCGCAATCACAACGATCCCCAAACCTCTTTTTGACCTGCCGTAAAAGAGGTATTTAGTCTACATGTACATGTGCGTACCTTTTCTCTCATGTTATGTATGTGTTGACGGTGTGTACAGGGTACAGTAGCACCACTCCTACGAACGATTGTGGTTCACGCCGGATGTGAGCAGTTGTTTTCATTCAGTCGGTACACCAAGCACAGCCAAACTCGCATCCAAACCCATGACCACTACATACCTGCATGGAAAGCTGCTAAGTACCAGCCTCGGTTGCCTTTACTGGTAGAATCCCAGCCAGCAACAGCGGAACCTACACCTGTGATACGCCCACAGCACAAAAAAGGAATTCTCCACTACTGCCGTGGTCGACCGAGTTACTACATTATTTGCGATGTTTCACTACTTCGTTTGCCGTACGAAGCGGAGAGACAGCAACGGTTGGGGAATGTCACCGGGATGCGTGTATACAACACCGCCGTAGAACCAGAGTAAGGCCGTTGTATGTCGTTGATTGGACATCGCACCCATCGGAGAGATCGCTGGTATGAGCTACACTGTAATCCTTTTCCCTCGACTATCGTGCAGCCCCCACAGCAGCAACAGCTTCCGCTATCCCACGAGATCCACCAGCAATCGTGCGAGTCACGGAGGGGGGGGTACTACACTGTCTTCTTGTCGCGCGGAGCCTTCGTGGTGTAGAGAAATGTTCACAACTTTTTCGTATTTTCCTAGTCTACAGTAGATGTTTCCCAATTACCCAACCCTACACCTACCCCAACCAACGCCGATTGACCGAAACACAACCGATTGGTGTGAGGTCAGTATATGATGGATAGCGCTACATAGGTTTGTGCGTGCACAGGAGACGCGGTAAGGTATACGCGCCTGTGACAATCCTATTCGGAAGTGGACACACCGATTGCCATTGAGTACGACAGCCGGGTGTGCACGCGTTGTACTGCTGTTCGTTGTCGCGACACGAGCCGCTGGTATATGGACACGTCCGTTTCAGAAGATCGGCTGCTTGACTCTACAGAACAGACGATTGATCGACATGGCTTGCCACAATATTTAGATAGGGGCCCCCTTCAAACGAATTGCACACGAAAGCAACCACCCAGGCGCAACTCCAACCCTTTCGTACTCTTGTTGTTGGCAGTGCAGGTGCATCAATAGGATCCTCTCAGAGATTGTTTCGGAAAAAATGTGTACCTTCCTTCCAAATTACATCACATTGATCGTCTTTCGGCCCACAATGTTTGCGTCCTCCCGATTTTCAGGAGTCCCAGGTCCAGCCCACTTCCTCCGAAGGCGAGGAAGTTTCCAGGCGACCGTTGGTGGTGACAATTGTTGTGAGTGTTCCACGGGGCAGCTTTCGTTTTTTGCTTGGCCAGCCAAAAAGCTTCATGTGGAATCATGATTCCGTAGGTGTACCCTGGGACTGGGTTTCAAGATTCCGATCAAGAACGGAGACAGCAGAGAAACGCCCGCGAGCAGACACTTGGGCCGCCGCCGCCGCCGCTGCTGCTGGTGCTGCTGCCGCCTCTTTTTGTCTGTCTTTTTCCCTCCAAACGGCGAAGAGCGCGATACGTTGGCGTAGGTACACGGGGAACGTCTTGGTACAGCAGTACACTGCTGACGAAGGGGGGGAATGAATGAATCTGGTCGCCATCTCAAGACTTCAATGCAGCACATGTGGCACGACTGAGTTTCTTCCATGTGGTCCTTTTTGTCTGAACATTTCTTCGATCGCCGTTTGGCCCGCTCCGTCTTGTGTGACACCGCTCGGCTCTGGTCGAAGTTATCGAGCCCCGCAGCATCTTTTGTGCCTCTCACTCTTCAAGAGCGCAGAACAACTATACATTGTAGCCCACGGGCCCGCACGATGCAAGGCAGTCCTGACTGATGGCGACGACAGCCGGGGTGAAGTGTGGCATGTTTCTAACGCACACATGAGAACACCTTACAGAAGGCAGACACCCGAAACTCATATGTAGCAGCACAACGGCAATAACCCGACAAGTGAAACGGCCCCACCCGCTGGGTGCATGAAATCGAACAGTCTCCTGCCTCACCCTGCCACCTCGATCACACGCAGGGTCTCTTCGCTTGGGTGTTGAGCGTGATCGCTGCAGCAGATGACGACTGGTTTATCGGGAGTACCCTCAGACCAGGCAGAGCGTCAACACTGGCGGCTTGTGTCATCGTCCATGAGGAGGACGGACACTGGTACACATGGTGTGCTCTCTGTAAGTGTCACGTTACGAACTAAACGGTTGATGATGGAGAAAATAAACAAGCATTTTTGCGCGCGATAGATATCTACCTGGCGAAGAGTTCTCCAGCATCAAGAAACAAGTTTGTGGCGTTCTTGAAGGGTGGCCCTAATTTGAACGCAGTCGGCCTAGATGGAGCGATAGGCACAAACCCGGCCCAGAATATGTAAAGGTACCAGTTGAACGGTACCTCGGGTTGGGCTATGAAACAAGGCCAGAGGCACATGGCTGCCTCACCCGACTTTCAGACGAACCTCCCGAGCTCTTGACAATATTTACCAAACGCCTGCATATCGAAAAATACGTCACGCATCTGCGCATCCTCCTGTTTATCACCCCCCAAATACGCAGATCGCACCTTCACCGCAACGCAGTGCATCGCCACTGTGCTTTGCTCCTTTGCTACGCTGGTGTTGGCGGTTCCCGCGGGTTCGAGAAAGTGTGCAAGGCGTACGGGGAACGCGATGAGGGTGCTGCTAGCGTGCTCTGTTTTCTTCCAACTGGTGGCGGCCTGTCTGGCGGCGAGTGTCTACGTTCACCTGAGGATCCACCGTCCATACCACGACGGTAGGGTACGTATGTAGCCAAGGTGTTGGTGTTTTTTTTCCCGTCCCATATTCAGCCCCAAGATTTTCATGACTACACTGTCATGAACGAAGCGCGCCGTACGAAAGGGGTCTTTTGGGTTTGAGAGTGGTGGAAGAGCTGTGTGCTAGTGGTACAGAAAAATCTTGACAACTGCTTTGTAGGTAGATAAGCTTGGCTCGGACCTTCGTGGCGACAAACGCCTGGTGACAAAAAGCTACACCCCTTGGGCCAAAATTCAAAGCTTGCGAGTTGTCCTCAACACTGCCGCCATCTGTATGTGTCGCCTCACCTTCCAACCGTATACACAGGTAGCGGCTTTCCTGCGATGCTACTGGGGCCGACGTTCGTCCTTGCTTGGGGGGCAATCTTGGTAGCTCTCGTAGAGATATCCCTCCTGCGTATCTCCCATCCGGAATCGAGAGGAACCGGGCCTCATCAAGAACCACCTTTCTATCTTCGCCACATCTATACTCGGAACCATCCGAAGAGCCGGTTTTGGGTGTTGCTCGGGATCGGCTCCCTTATCGTGGTCTTCGACGTGACGACTCTGGTGAACTACGTTGACGCTTCGGGTCTTTCGAGTGAGTGCGGAATTGTTTGAGGGAGTGCGAAGACCGGACAAGTCTTACCCGTCAGCCGGCTGTCGGACGCACTGCAAATATTTCGCTATGATTCAATCATCTCACAATGTCTACGACGCATATAGGATTTTCTGGAATTGAGTTTCTGCATCTCTTGGGACCAACGGCAGGAGAATCCGGGGATACATCCCTACTCAGCACCCGTACATTCGATAAACAAACCTTTTCGACCATCCAGATTGATGCAGGAGCCTCGAACCCACACAAAGCAACGTATTCTCAACCCCACCCCACCCTCTCTTCAAAGTGGACCCACATGTGCCAACGATTTAGTCTGTATGGGGCGGCCGGCCCATCGATGCTTTTCACTCTGGTCCAGCAGGGATGCCACACGAGATGGAAGGCGACTTTGTCGATTGCCACGGTCGCGGTAGACTCTCTCGCGAGTCCAGGTTGCGGGGTGGGTGAGAGCGATGTATTTATCAACGCCTATCATGTAGTATGGCTTCCGACGTTGGTGCTTCAGCGTTGAGTGGGAGCGCAACTAACAATCACATGTAATCACACTGCGTTGCATCCAAGAACCGCTTTTCCCCAGCCTGTTCTAGGGCGTGAGATCGTTCTTATTCATACGCACATACCTGCAGACGCCCCCTGTCCTTCGTACTACTGCTCCCCGCGGGCTAAAGCGACTCCCGGTGCCACCCCTTGTCGGTCCTTCTCGTACGCCAAAACCCCACACTCGCTAGGCCCGGGCTTGCAAAGCATTCCCTTGGTCTTCTGCGTCTCGAGCGTCATCTTTCTCGTCTGGTCCGCTTCCCACAAGCAAGCGACCAAGGGAAAGTGCTTCGTCCTCGGCCTGGGAGTACTAGCGTCATTGTTTTACCCCCAAACGCGCTTCGTAATGGGCATGCTGGGATGGGCCAACGCTGACGAGGAAGGTGCGTCGGAACGCGTGGGAGGCCGTTGGTGTGGACGCACAACCTAGACGGGCAGCCACTATTGCGCTTGGCGGGCAACCTGTTCATGGTTTGTTCCCCGCCCCCACGTTGTACGGTGTGGATACTTCGAGGATCTTGCAAAATGCCAAATTTTTGTGAGCGCTCTCTTCACGTCACGCGCTGGGAATATGAGAGCCTGGTCCGGTTAGAACCCGGCGTGCTCCGTCCCGGCTTTGTAGGGATGCAAGGTCAATGGTCAAACGACTACGGCATATAGTAGACGACTATGAGTACACCGCCCCCCCCCCCTCACTTCCTGGTCCGGTGAGAACCCGGCGTGCTCCGTCCCGGCTTTGTAGGGATGCGAGGTTAATGGTCCAACGACTAGGCATGCACGACTATGAATACCCCCCCCCCCCCCCCCCCCCCCCTTTTTGGGGGAAA